GTTTCGACAGCGTTACCTACCCGTTGCCATGTGCCCATTTCTTGAGAACTTTGGCACATGCAAATCTTCGGATGTTGTGGGAAAAATCAACTTCCTACAGTCCACGACAATGACTGCGCATTCAAGCTTCTCTCAGTCCACCCAGAATCACTGCGGCAATGACGACCTTTTCAAGCTTCTTCTAGTCCACCCAGAATCCCGGCAGCTTATGTCTTCAGACCTTACACCTGACATGATGATGGTAATTCTCAAAACGGAGTGTTGTTAAGTTTCGACAGCGTTACCTACCCGTTGACATGTGCCCATTTCTTGAGAACTTTGGCACATGCTTAATCTTCGGATGTTGTTGTGGAAAGTCAACTTCCTACAGTCCACGACAATGACTGCGCATTCGAAGCTTCTTCTAGTCCACCCAGAATCACTGCGGCAATGACGACCTTTTCAAGCTTCTTCTAGTCCACCCAGAGTCCCGGCAGCTTATGTCTTCAGACCATTACACCTGACATGATGATGGTAATTCTCAAAACGGAGTGTTAAGTTTCGATAACGCTTTACCTACCCGTTGACATGTGCCCATTTTTGAACATTGGCACATTCAGAATCTTCGGATGTTGTGGGAAAAATCAACTTCCTAAAGTCCACGACAATGACTGCGCATTCAAGCTTCTCATAGTCCACCCAGAATCACTGCGGCAATGACGACTTTTTCAAGCTTCTTCTAGTCCACCCAGAATCTCCCGGCAGCTTATGTCTTCAGACCTTACACCTGACATGATGATGGTAATTCTCAAAACGGAGTGTTGTTAAGTTTCGACAGCGTTACCTACCCGTTGCCATGTGCCCATTTCTTGAGAACTTTGGCACATGCTTAATCTTCGGATGTTGTGGGAAAAATCAACTTCCTACAGTCCACGACAATGACTGCGCATTCAAGCTTCTTCTAGTCCACCCAGAATCACTGCGGCAATGACGACTTTTCAAGCTTCTTCTAGTCCACCCAGAATCCCGGCAGCTTATGTCTTCAGACCTTACACCTGACATGATGATGGTAATTCTCAAAACGGAGTGTTGTTAAGTTTCGACAGCGTTACCTACCCGTTGCCATGTGCCCATTTCTTGAGAACTTTGGCACATGCTTAATCTTCGGATGTTGTGGGAAAAATCAACTTCCTACAGTCCACGACAATGACTGCGCATTCGAGCTTCTTCATAGTCCACCCAGAATCACTGCGGCAATGACGACCTTTTCAAGCTTCTTCTAGTCCACCCAGAATCCCGGCAGCTTATGTCTTCAGACCTTACACCTGACATGATGATGGTAATTCTCAAAACGGAGTGTTGTTAAGTTTCGATAACGTTACCTACCCGTTGCCATGTGCCATTTCTTGAGAACTTTGGCACATGCTTAATCTTCGGATGTTGTGGGAAAAATCAACTTCCTACAGTCCACGACAATGACTGCGCATTCGAGCTTCTTCTAGTCCACCCAGAATCACTGCGGCAATGACGACCTTTTCAAGCTTCTTCTAGTCCACCCAGAGTCCCGGCAGCTTATGTCTTCAGACCTTACACCTGACATGATGATGGTAATTCTCAGAACGGAGTGTTGTTAAGTTTCGATAACGTTACCTACCCGTTGCCATGTGCCCATTTCTTGAGAACTTTGGCACATGCAGAATCTTCGGATGTTGTGGGAAAAATCAACTTCCTACAGTCCACGACAATGACTGCGCATTCGAGCTTCTTCTAGTCCACCCAGAATCCCTGCGCCAATGACGACCTCTTCAAGCTTCTCATAGTCCACCCAGAATCACTGCGGCAATGACGACTTTTCAAGCTTCTTCTAGTCCACCCAGAATCCCGGCAGCTTATGTCTTCAGACCTTACACCTGACATGATGATGGTAATTCTCAAAACGGAGTGTTGTTAAGTTTCGACAGCGTTACCTACCCGTTGCCATGTGCCCATTTCTTGAGAACTTTGGCACATGCAGAATCTTCGGATGTTGTGGGAAAAATCAACTTCCTACAGTCCACGACAATGACTGCGCATTCAAGCTTCTCATAGTCCACCCAGAATCACTGCGGCAATGACGACTTTTCAAGCTTCTTCTAGTCCACCCAGAATCCCGGCAGCTTATGTCTTCAGACCTTACACCTGACATGATGATGGTAATTCTCAAAACGGAGTGTTGTTAAGTTTCGACAGCGTTACCTACCCGTTGCCATGTGCCCATTTCTTGAGAACTTTGGCACATGCAGAATCTTCGGATGTTGTGGGAAAGTCAACTTCCTACAGTCCACGACAATGACTGCGCATTCGAGCTTCTTCCAGTCCACCCAGAATCCCGGCAGCTTATGTCTTCAGACCTTACACCTGACATGATGATGGTAATTCTCAAAACGGAGTGTTGTTAAGTTTCGACAGCGTTACCTACCCGTTGACCATGTGCCCATTTCTTGAGAACTTTGGCACATGCTTAATCTTCGGATGTTGTGGGAAAGTCAACTTCCTACAGTCCACGACAATGACTGCGCATTCGAGCTTCTTCTAGTCCACCCAGAATCACTGCGGCAATGACGACCTTTTCAAGCTTCTTCTAGTCCACCCAGAATCCCGGCAGCTTATGTCTTCAGACCTTACACCTGACATGATGATGGTAATTCTCAAAACGGAGTGTTGTTAAGTTTCGACAGCGTTACCTACCCGTTGCCATGTGCCCATTTCTTGAGAACTTTGGCACATGCTTAATCTTCGGATGTTGTGGAAGAAATCAACTTCCTACAGTCCACGACAATGACTGCGCATTCGAGCTTCTTCCAGTCCACCCAGAATCACTGCGGCAATGACGACTTTTCAAGCTTCTTCTAGTCCACCCAGAATCCCGGCAGCTTATGTCTTCAGACCTTACACCTGACATGATGATGGTAATTCTCAAAACGGAGTGTTGTTAAGTTTCGACAGCGTTACCTACCCGTTGCCATGTGCCCATTTCTTGAGAACTTTGGCACATGCTTAATCTTCGGATGTTGTGGGAAAGTCAACTTCCTACAGTCCACGACAATGACTGCGCATTCGAGCTTCTTCTAGTCCACCCAGAATCCCTGCGCCAATGACGACCTCTTCAAGCTTCTCATAGTCCACCCAGAATCACTGCGGCAATGACGACTTTTCAAGCTTCTTCTAGTCCACCCAGAATCCCGGCAGCTTATGTCTTCAGACCTTACACCTGACATGATGATGGTAATTCTCAGAACGGAGTGTTGTTAAGTTTCGATAACGTTACCTACCCGTTGACCATGTGCCCATTTCTTGAGAACTTTGGCACATGCAGAATCTTCGGATGTTGTGGGAAAGTCAACTTCCTACAGTCCACGACAATGACTGCGCATTCAAGCTTCTCATAGTCCACCCAGAATCACTGCGGCAATGACGACTTTTTCAAGCTTCTTCTAGTCCACCCAGAATCCCGGCAGCTTATGTCTTCAGACCTTACACCTGACATGATGATGGTAATTCTCAAAACGGAGTGTTGTTAAGTTTCGACAGCGTTACCTACCCGTTGCCATGTGCCCATTTCTTGAGAACTTTGGCACATGCTTAATCTTCGGATGTTGTGGGAAAATCAACTTCCTACAGTCCACGACAATGACTGCGCATTCAAGCTTCTCATAGTCCACCCAGAATCACTGCGGCAATGACGACTTTTCAAGCTTCTTCTAGTCCACCCAGAATCCCGGCAGCTTATGTCTTCAGACCTTACACCTGACATGATGATGGTAATTCTCAGAACGGAGTGTTGTTAAGTTTCGATAACGTTACCTACCCGTTGCCATGTGCCATTTCTTGAGAACTTTGGCACATGCAGAATCTTCGGATGTTGTGGGAAAAATCAACTTCCTACAGTCCACGACAATGACTGCGCATTCAAGCTTCTCATAGTCCACCCAGAATCACTGCGGCAATGACGACCTTTTCAAGCTTCTTCTAGTCCACCCAGAATCCCGGCAGCTTATGTCTTCAGACCTTACACCTGACATGATGATGGTAATTCTCAAAACGGAGTGTTGTTAAGTTTCGACAGCGTTACCTACCCGTTGCCATGTGCCCATTTCTTGAGAACTTTGGCACATGCTTAATCTTAGGATGTTGTGGAAGAAATCAACTTCCTACAGTCCACGACAATGACTGCGCATTCGAGCTTCTTCTAGTCCACCCAGAATCCCGGCAGCTTATGTCTTCAGACCTTACACCTGACATGATGATGGTAATTCTCAAAACGGAGTGTTGTTAAGTTTCGACAGCGTTACCTACCCGTTGCCATGTGCCCATTTCTTGAGAACTTTGGCACATGCAGAATCTTCGGATGTTGTGGGAAAAATCAACTTCCTACAGTCCACGACAATGACTGCGCATTCAAGCTTCTCATAGTCCACCCAGAATCACTGCGGCAATGACGACTTTTCAAGCTTCTTCTAGTCCACCCAGAATCCCGGCAGCTTATGTCTTCAGACCTTACACCTGACATGATGATGGTAATTCTCAAAACGGAGTGTTGTTAAGTTTCGACAGCGTTACCTACCCGTTGACCATGTGCCCATTTCTTGAGAACTTTGGCACATGCTTAATCTTCGGTTGTTGTGGGAAAGTCAACTTCCTACAGTCCACGACAATGACTGCGCATTCGAGCTTCTTCTAGTCCACCCAGAATCCCTGCGCCAATGACGACCTCTTCAAGCTTCTCATAGTCCACCCAGAATCACTGCGGCAATGACGACTTTTCAAGCTTCTTCTAGTCCACCCAGAATCCCGGCAGCTTATGTCTTCAGACCTTACACCTGACATGATGATGGTAATTCTCAGAACGGAGTGTTGTTAAGTTTCGATAACGTTACCTACCCGTTGCCATGTGCCCATTTCTTGAGAACTTTGGCACATGCTAAATCTTCGGATGTTGTGGGAAAGTCAACTTCCTACAGTCCACGACAATGACTGCGCATTCAAGCTTCTTCTATTCCACCAATGACGACCTTTGCAATCTTCGTGCACTCTGGATGCTCACCGATACAGTTTACAGGAGCGATACAATTTGGACCGGAATCCATCTTCGCTCTGCAAATTTTTCGATACCATTCTCTTGTTGCTTCGGTTTTCCCAGCTAAGAGGTTAATTTCTTCCTAGAGTATTATTTTTCTTTGTGCTCACCTTATTCTTAATACTGAATTCGTATTCATTGGACGCTACTGTGTTTTGAAATTTTCTGGAAGTGTTCCCACCGCAACATCTTCTGCTTCAAATTTTTTGCTCATAACTCTTGATACTGGTTTGAATCGAAAACAAAAAAAATTCTAAAACTTGATTTGAATCAGAGCAGGACTTCGTTAAACACGATGTTTTTTATCCGATTCGTGGGTGACTTGATTTTGATTCCACTTGGTGTTCTTGCACGGGAAAGAGCAACATATAATTGTCCATGGGAAAAAACATCTTCCGGGAGATATATACCTACTTTGTTAAAAGACTGTCCCTGCGATTTATTTATTGTCATGGCGAACGCGACTCGGACAGGGAATTGCCGTCGTCGTAGTCGAAAGGGAGCTCTGTTGTCCCAGTAGTTGTCAATACGCGGGATGATAGCAAGCTGTCCACTTCTTTCTCCACATATGAAATTTGCAGCCAAGAGTGAATCGCCCTAGCGTTTCTACTTTCATTCTTGTTCCATTACAAAGGCCATTAGCTTACATCGAGGTTTCTCAGGAGCATTACAATCGCTCCTTTCTTTAGTCGTAACTCGTGTGGTGGCATGCCTGTGGGGGTCAAAGAATTCAAATATTCTTGTTGGAATAGCTGCTCGCCTTGTCCTTCAGGATAAATAGCTTCATCGATGCTCTTGTAAACGCGCTCGTCTTGTGAACTATTCACACGGAGGCAGTCGAGTGCAATATCGTTAAGGCGCTGCACATGTATATTTTTTGGCGCCAAAATGGCACTCTCGCACAGTTCAGACGTGCTGTTCGGGTCGAGTGTAACTCCGAATATTTCCGCGACAATATCGGAATGGCACATCATGTCCTCTGGCACTTGGATGCAACCATCAGCATCGTTGCATTCACCATTTCCTATTTTGAGAAGTCGTTCATGCCAATCGCCTCCAGCCTCCCTTGCTCTCATGTTCACTTCTAGGCGATGAATAGAAAACAATGACCATAGGACAGATTTGTGAACGCAAGCAGCTACCAAGTCTTCCCTTTGTCCGTGTTCGACGACTGGTAGTACTTGCCGGAAATCTCCGCCAATAACCATAACTTTTCCACCGAATGGTTCGTCATTCTGCATGATATCCTTCAAGAGAACGTCAACTGCTTCCAAAGCAACTTTTGGTGCCATCGAAATTTCGTCCCAAATTATCATATCCACGGCCATCAGTTCTCTAGCCTCCTTTTGTTGGCGTCTCATAGAAGAGCTCCGGTTGCCATCTCCAATGTTCAACTTGAACAGGGAGTTCACGGTCCTTCCTCCTGGCAGAAGGTTCGCCGCTATTCCTGTCCAAGCGACACAAACAACTTGACGTCTTCGTCCAACAACAATATCATACACAGTGTTATATAAGTAGGTTTTCCCACTTCCACCTGGACCATCTATGAAAATACAACGATTTCGAGGTCTGTCTAATGCACCAACAATATCGTCCGCCGCTGCTCGTTGCCTGGCATTGAGTGTTTCATATCGAATCAAGCCATCTCTTTCATGTGCTTCATAATCCACCTCAATTGCTGGTATAACGGGACGTTCAGCAACAGGAGGAGGAACGATTTCTCTGAAATCTCTGCCTAAAAGAGCCATTCGATCAAGAATGTCGAAGTAGGCAAACGCTACAGCAATTTCATGGTCAATTCCTCGATTGATGTAGTCATCTGACATGGCTTCGGCGAAATCGTTCCACAAATCGTGTGCATCAACAACCTCACAGAAACAGAGCAAACATGCGAAAAAGCTTCGAACACATGCTGCTGATTGGTAGTGAATAGCCTCCTCTAAACTCTGACGGAAATATCGGTCGTCATCCAGAAAGCCTGCATGTTTCGCTGCCTCTGCAAAAGTGCTGAATGTAATGCCGTCGACCGTTCTTATGTCTTCGAAAGACGTCTTCCCTTTCGTATTCAGTAAAAGAATTCTGAGGCAGTAGCGTTCATTGTCCCGAGGTGAAACAGTGTACATCCTACCGATCTGATTTCCGCCACGTTCTCTCGGTGACCAACCACTGCGAGGCTTGAAGATAAAATATTCAGGGATTTGATAATAATAAAGTTCGCGAGCGTCAATCGAATTACGGCTTATCCCACCATCAGCCTGCGCATGTTGCCTGTTCAGCTCGAAGTACGCCGTAAGGGTAGTAAAACACTGCTGGGCATGATCAAGATATTGCTGTTCTCGTCCCTGCACAAACTGCACCGTCTGGAATTCAGGTAAATGAACAGCCAATCTGCAGACCGTATGCGACTTTTCCTGCATAGAGAAACCGAAAATCCTGTGCATACTTTGTGGAGCACAAACGTAGCGAGTATTCAGGTGTTGTTTGATTTCGTCGACGTTCTCATTGTTGCCAGCGTTTCCTTCAGTTTCAATATTGATGCGAGCACGGTCTTCTCCTTTGTAGATGTATTTGTAAAGATATTTCACTGCAGATATCATGCCGCATATTTCTAGATTAACGTGGCAATCAAATTTGATGAGAAGGTGTGGATTTGAAGGCACCACCCACTCATCACCGTAGAGAACACCATTGATTTCAGCAGGTGATGAATTGCGTCGTCGATAGTTTGGATATCCGTCTACATCTACTGATGTTCTCTCTCGTAGCTGCTTTGGGAATCGCTTTGAACAGGACCCATTCCGCATGCAAGGAGAGTCCATTTGCCCACACTGCCTGTGAATCATATAGGACGTCACCGCTGCATGAAGCTCTGGTTCCTGCACAGGATTCGGAATTTCCGCACAAATCGATCTATCCACGTCGTCCGCCGTCCGTACTCTCCACTCTTCTTTCATTATGAGAAGCATGTGACAATGTGGAAGGCCTCGCTTTTTGGAATTCGACTACGTACACGTAAGCTTGCACTTCCCCGAGAACATGTCTTTTGAAAAGGTCAGCACAAAGTTCTCGTAGCTTGGCGTTGAAAACACGCGCCACTATGTCGGGGCGATCAGATGCCGCCTGGCCATTGTAAAGGTTTTCTTGGATTTCCCTCCACTGAGGATTACACGTCATCGTCAAGAAATAAGTGGGTTTTCCATATCGAGCGACAATGGCCATCGCGTCTTGATATGATTGTTGCATGGAGCGCGGGCTGCCAAGGTGTGACGATGACAAAATCACTCTCCTTCCTGGTGGACCAAAATTGTCTTCACCGGCAAGGTAATCTTGCAGACCTCTGTACGAATCAGCACGCAATGTAAGCTGATTTCGTCGCTGGAAGTTGAGCCGGTTTTGTTCAATTTTGACATAAGCGTCGACAGCGAACTGCTGAAATAGTTTTCCAGCATACAGAATAGGATTGAAGCTATCCCGTATTGATAACAGATAAGAATAGTATTCCTTTTGTGTGATACGACCGCCACTGATGTTAGTCATGCTCGGATCCCATCCACCTTCTCCGGTTGGAAAAAGAAGCGGGTATGTGAGAGGATCGCAAATTTTATCAATATCACGGATACTGAGAAGCTGTTCTCCTGATTCGTTGCGGAGGTGGACTGCGAAACTTCTCGTTGCCGGAACATCATTGTCTTCCCCGACGTACACTACTGCGACTTCGTTGGCTGTTGGCAAATCGTATTGACGGCGCCTCAATCCTCTCTCATTGCTCTCTTCAAAAACCATCCGAATTTTGAGAGGAGCTCGATTTTCCCGCGCTGCAGCAGTAAGTTCTGCTTGCTCCACTTCGCTCATCATTTTGAAAGATTGAGCGTACATATTAATGCTCGACAACAGTTCACTGAGGAGCCGCATCAGTTCTGGATCACAGTCGGCATTTCGTTCGTTTCCAAGTCGTTGCCTAGTGGCCATTTCTGTGTCCAAAATGTAGATCTGACCATACTGCCGTTGTTCCCCATCTCTGGGATGGAGTGGACCCACACGGTGGTATATCTGTCCGTGTATTCTGTAACAGTATGGGCCACGCCCCCGTAGCAAGTCTACCTGTGCTCCCATTGAAGCCATGGCCAACGCAGAGTTGAAGTTTCTAATGTTCTCGAGGAAATTTTTCTGCACACGACGCTGCTCTGTAGTCATATCAGTTCTTTGAATGAAGAGATTACGAAGACATTCCGGGAAATTCGTGAACATATTTAATCTGATTCTGCCGAAATCACAGCATTCTCGAAAAGTGTCTGGATGGTTTGACTTGACTTCAGCCAGGAAGTGCAATGCTCCGCAATTAACACATCTTCGATCTAGCCCTCCTAAATAATGAGTTTCGGTCATTCGTGAGCGCAACGCTAATCCAAGGGTTTCAGATTGCATTCTGCGTTGACGATTACGTGCAGCATTTGATTCCAATCTTGACAAACGTGCTACCTCGTTCTCGGTGTTGCGATGTTGTCTGTGACGCAGAGCATCCTCTTCCAATCTGGATGACCTCTTGCTCGAAACTTTCGAGTCCACGTCTCAAACGCTGTCGCTGGGCGTTCTGCGACTGCCGGGTGGTACGCTCTTCAGGAGTCTCTAGTTGTCGTCGCCGGCGCTGCAGTTCAGCGTTCAATGCGAGCCGATCTGATTGTTCTTCAACAGTCTCTTGCCGCCGTCTTCGACGTTGGCGTTCAGCGTTAATTGCCTGCCGCACTACCTCTTCCTCAACACTCTCTTGATCCCGCCTTTGACTTTGACGTGCAGCATTTCTAGCAAGCCGAGCAGAACGTTCTTGAGCTCCCTCCTGTTCACGTCTACGACGCTGATTTTGAGCATTTCTACCTAGTCGAGCAGAACGTTCTTCAACGTTTTCTAGGTCATGCCTGCGACGCCTACGCTGCACGTCTTCTTCAAGCCTAGCAGAGCGTTCTTCCGCAGTCTCTAATTCTCGTCTCCGCCTCTGAAGCTCAGCATTTTCTTCTCGTCTACTTGCATTTTCCTGTGCACTTTCCAAAGCTCGTCTTCGAGATTGGCGTTGAGCATTATTTTGCCGACTTCTTGTCCTTTCATCTTCACTCTGCGACAATCGTCTTAGATGCTGCCGTTCAGCATTTATACGCAGTCTTGCGTTTCTTTCTCCAGCTCCTTCGCTTAGACGTCTCTGCAGTTGACGATTGCTTTCGGCTTCTAGACGGGAGGATCTTTCTTCTTCAGTTTCACGCTGTCGTCTACTGCGCTGACGTGCAGCGTCACTGTCGTGGATCCTTGGTCGACCTCTCTGCCTTCTTTGTTCCATTCTGAGTACGTGCTCTGATCTGTAGCTCCAGTCAAATTGATGGATCTCCAAAGCTGTAATAAGTTGGACATTTTTTTGCAGTCAGTCTGGCAACTGATGGTTTGTCGAGGAAGTAGAAGTAATGGGCAAAACTAAGAGGGAGGAAAAGGTGTGGGGGACAGCGTAGTGGTTTCCCATTATTCTACTCGGAAACGGAAATCGGAACGAAGGGATTTCACTCTTTAAACCATGATCAAGCAAAAGGAAACCTAGCAGCAGAAGATGTTACAGTGGTACATTACAACGAAAGTATTGGGAGTCACATAAAACGTGATTAGAATGCATATAATATTCAAACTCGAAGAATGGTGAGTCGGCATTTCACTACTGAAATTTTTTGAGAAATTTTGACAAACTTCCTCAAGTTGCTTCAATCATCAAAATCACAGTCTAGCAAAATGGTCATCCGGTGAGATCAATAGTAAAAAGCTTATAGTGCAACTAATATCCGCTAGTACAGAATAACTGTTGCATGAACAAAGGATGCTGCACGCTAGCGTGCGGGGCAGAAACAGCGTCACGTGATCTCTATACACGTTCCCAACGGCATATCCTTGCCAATAACCACTGCGATAACAATTGGAACGAATTTGAAATTTCTCTGAACTACGATGAGACTTAAGCACCCACCTGATTCCGAGTTCTAGGAAAACTCGTGATCAGCTTTCACAATGAATAAGAACCACCACCTTTTTGTAAATCGATTATCGCTATCATTATATGCTCTACCGCGATGCATCGCACTCACATACTTTCCATCATTTCTTTGGTTTAATAGAGCAAAGGAACGCTCACCAATAGCCGTTGTTATTATGTTTTTGTAATCTTCGGTTTCTCTTCACAGGATTTCTACAGCCACGCGAATATATGGAACCGCTAAGTTCACAACAGCCGTTATTCAGGTGTAGAATATCCTAGAAGACACCAACAACACCACCTACACACTTACACTTGCTGAGAATGCTCTTTCCCAATGTTTACCATTAGTTCCCAACCGAGTCAGCTTTTGCAGTTTTTGCCCGCAACATCCGGATAGCTTCAAAAACTTGGTTGCTGCCGTGCTTGGTTGATGTGTCCATGGTAATAGCTATTCAGTGTTTGCTGTATCTCCAGAACATCCATCATTATCCAGATGTCAGGGTAGTTTACCGTTGAGGTTGTCTTTGAGACTAACTGGATTAAAATAGAAATCGCCAGTGGTGATTGTCTCGCTACAACATAACCTTCTTCAAAGTTTTTTTTAGCAATCCAAGCCTACCTGTAGTGGTGTATTAAACGCCTCACTTTCCAACTATGAATGACATTCAATAACAAACAGTCTCAATTTTCCGGCGAATTCCTTTATCAGCAGTTATCGTTGTTACCACGTTTTCATCGTCACCCTCTGGATTTGCTCTTATTCCACCCTTTATATCGTACTGGTAAACAACGTCCTACTGTTGTTGGGCCAAACCCTAGGAATTTCACAACATTTGCGTTCTAGCGCCCCTTATCAGTCCTGTAGCTATCGCGCACATGTCAACATATGTCTCAGTGAGACTGAGTATTGCCGGGATAGTATTGCATTGAATAAAACACCGCTTTCAATGAATTCGACTGATAGTGTTGAGGAAATCAGAAGATA